TTTTTTCTTTTTTTTTCTCTTAGATTGAAAGAAAGTATTTTTCTGTATGTAGTAAAAAGAATTTGACATGATAAAGTTGAAGATCAACCTTGGCAGAAGTTCTCGAGGTACATACTCGGTTCTTCGGAGAGGCGGAGTTGGAGGCTCTGGAAAGGGGCTTGTAACACACAGAATGAACGATAAACGCAGGCAGCCTGGAAAATTCCGGATCAACGACGCGATGTTTCAGCAAAAACTTCGAATCAGAACTACCGAGAGCTCACTTGTCTCTTTTTCCATGCTCTTGCTGGCTTGCCTTTTTTTCTATATTCACTATATACATAGATATAGTCTGTCATCTTTAGAGAAAAGAAAAGAAAAGAGAGAAGAAAGAAACTCCTTTCTTTGAATAAAGGAAATAAGAGGGACATATTTTTTGAAAATGAAAAAAAAAATGCTCGTGGAATTTGTTTATTTGGTTTTTAAATCTAGATTTATGTCTGAATTTGACAAAATTGTGAGACTAATTTTGATTAGGAGGAATATTCACTAATTTTGAGTTTTAAAAAATTAGTCAAGAATTACTATTATTTTAGTAATATAATATTTTACTAAAATGCTATTTTAATAGAGTATTCTTTTTAATTTATATTAGAAAGAATATTCACTAATTTTTAGTAAAATATAATTTTAGTAAAATGGCTAATTTAGTGCGTATATTATGGTAAATTGCATTTTAGTGAAACATCGCTTTAGTAAAATATTTTTTTAATAAAATATTCTGACAAATATTTTTTTAGTAAAATAGAATTTTAGATAAATATTTTTTTAGTAAAATAGTATTTTAGATAAATATTTTTTTTATTAGAATAATATTTTAGTAAAATATTACTTTTCTAAAAGAAATATCTTAAAATAAAGGAGTATACACACTTCGTATATTATTATTTTCCTAAATTATTTTCTATAATATTTAAAATAATAGTTAACTATAGTTAGTAACTATTCTTAGGTATCTACAATTTTAACTGAGATTCAATTTTAAATAAAATTGTTATTAGAAAGTTTTACGAGAGTTCAATTATTTAAATACAAAAATTAATAATTTATTGAATGATTGAATTCTGATAAAGACATTTATCTAAATTTTTTAAAATAATTGAACAATTATTACGAAGAATTTTATTAAAAATTTTTAAAATAATTAAATTCTTTCAAGAAGGTCAATTAAAAATGTATTGAAAATAATTATTAAATTCTAATGATCAAATTTTTAAAATTTTGTAAAATAATTTAATTCTTGCAAGTTGTAACGAATTGTATTAAAATTTTTAAATATAATTGATTCAATTATTGATTTTTTTCGAAAAATGTTATAAAAATTGTGTTGCAAATAATTGAATTCCTGTAAAAATTTTATCACTTATAAAAATAATTGAATGTTTGCGAAGAATTAAAAAAAAAACGTTTTTAAATTATTTAATTTTTTGGGGAATTTTTTATTAAAACAGTAGATATTGAAAATAATTGAATTTTGAAATTTTTTAGATAATAATTGAATCGTTTGAAGGAATTTTATTAAAATTTGTTGAACTGTTTCTGAGAATTTTATTAAAATTTTTAAAAATAATTTTTTTATTTCAACTATTAGGGAATTTAAAGTGTAGCGCAAATTCTCAAACATAAAAAAAGTAGGTTTTAGTGTCGCAAACCTAAAAAAAAGTATTCAAATAGAAACAAATATTAAATAAAGTAATATCAAATATGAAGAATATTAATGTAATTTTAATATTGCTAATTAGAATTAGTGTCTTAATTTTTGACAAATTCGACTATTAGTTAATAAAATTTTATTTTAGTAAAATGTTATTTCAGTAAATTGTTGGTTTAGAGGAATATTATTTAGTATTACTGTCTAAATTTGAATTGGCAAAAATTTTCACTAATTTGAATTAATGATTTTTTGCTTTTAAATTAGTAAACTTTACTATTAAATAGTTATTTCTACTAATTTCTTAGTAAATTTTATTAATTCTAAAGCAAAAAGACAGTTACTGATTTAAATTAGTAAACATTCTTAGTAATTTAAAGTTAGACTTTAAAAATATAAATATTATAAATAAATATTACTTAATAAAATGTTATTTTAGTAAAACAGTATTTTAGTAAAATGTTATTTTAGTAAAACAGTATTTTAGAAAAATATTATTTTGGTCAAAAAGTATTTTATTAAAATAGGATTTCAGTAAAATAGTATATTACTATAAAACAAAAATTTACTAAAATAACATTTTACTTGAATAAAATTTTACTAAAATAACATTTTACTAATTTGTTTAGTGGTTATAATACACTTAACAAAAATTTATTTGATTCAAATAATAATTTACTTGTCTATTCACAAAGAAAAACTGAACTCAAAATGAGTCGTAAAAGTGACTCATTATGAGCTGCAACAAAAATGAACCTCGCAGATGACGCCACGTTCTATGTCATTTAACATAGACTCATTTTGAGTTGCAACAAAAATGAGTCCGATTTTTTTCTGTGTTATCAAATAATAATTTACTTGTCTATTATCAAATAAATATTTACCTGAATCAAATAAATATTTACCTGAGTCAAATAAATATTTACCTGAATCAAATAAATATTTACCTGATTGAAATAATTTTTATCCAAATCAAATAAATTTTTAAATATTTAAACCAATAATTTCAGTGTTTAGAGCAAATACAAATAAATAGCAAAATAAAATTTCAAATAATTAAAACGAAAAATGTTGAAAACTAAAGTTTTAGTAAAAAATGAACAAAAATAGAAAAATTAGTTTAAAATTATTTCACTTTGAAATTTTTCACCTCTGTCTTAAAATGAGTGACAGGTGTAATTTTCGCTGCTTATCAAAATGACCCTCAGGGGGTCATTTTGAGCGGAGGTTTTTTTTCCTCTTTCTCACTCTCAGTATGTGTGCAGTACTAATGAAAATGCTGTAAAACGCGAGATGCCGTGAACTAAATCGAAGTCTGCAAGGGTAATAAAAGAAACATAATTCGTCACTGGCTTTTTCTCTCAGGTTATATTCCCCTGTTGTGAGTACACTGGATTTATTGCGAAAAGTAATACGAATTACTTATGATTGTAGATAAAAGACACACATATAGGGGTAGAGGAAAACCGTTAGCGATTTTCGTTGAATACCATCCCCGCAACTGCTTTCAAATTATCTCTAGCGATTTATATATAATATATAGTGAACCTCAAAAATCGCTGACTTTATTGTTTACTGCCCCGCAAGAAAGGGAATTTTTCACCAATTGCTTTTTTATGTTTCTTAAAAATTTTAATTTTGTCGAATCGAAAAAAATTTCTTTATAAATATTATAATGGAAGGAAAAACTATTTTAAAGGGTTAAAATAATTTTTTTCTTAATTTCGCGCCAATATAATTATTTCTGGAAAATTCAAAGAAGTAATAAAAAATATTGTCGTTTATATGAATGTTCGAAACTTTAGGGACATAGATTAATTAATATCTAAGAAAAATCAATTTTTTTCCTCACTTTATTTTCTCCAAATTTATCCATTAATAATAATTATTTATAATTTATTTATTGTCGTAATTTACAATATTATTAATAATTAATTAATATTATTAACATTAATAATTATTAATATTAATAATTATTGTTGTTATTTTTATTAAAATAAGTTTCCTTAAGAAGATATACACGTATACATGTCTGACATAAAAAAACCTTTACTACTTAAAAACAAAATTTTCCTTACTTGAGAATAGATTCTGTCTGACGCAACAACTTTTTCTACTGAAACGTGTGTGAATAGTGTTTTGACGAGACAACCTTTTCTACTTAAAAATTTAAGGTATTGATTTTGCCAGACAAAACTAGTTCTTATTTCACTGAATTCTCTTGTCTTGTCACGACAGTTTTACCTACTTGCTTCATAAAATTTCGACCTTTGAAAATAATTACCAAATTACAACACAAAATGATTTTTTTCTGCCTTATTTCACCCTTTTGGAGTAGATTTTTATTTTGAAAAATTTTACTCCTTACTCTCGATGCCATTTACTCGGTGAAATAATAAAAATAAAAAAATAATAAAAACATTGTTAATTATACTTTTTTGGAATCATGAATTATAAAATTAGGAATTATGGATTACAGGTAAAATTCTAATGACCGCATTTAGTTTTTGACATCAGAAAAATTTATTTAAAAAATTTTTATTTTTAATTAAGTTTCTATAGGAAAGTAATTAAGGAAATTTTTTGTTAAGTTAATTTTTGGTTGTCAGAGGCAAATTAGAAGGATCGTTGGAATTTTATGTGTGGGGCAAATATAATTTTATTCTCTTTCGAAATAAAATTGTGACAAAAATTGAAAATAAAATCAGAGTTCTCTATATTATAGTACGACAACTGTTGTAAATGTTTTGTGAACAGTATCAATTGTTGATAAAGCTGCTCTTATCAACGAGAGTTATAAAACGCTTTCTCTCTTTTCTGTATTACCAACAGCCGACGATTCCCTACAATTTTTCACAGCGACCTTCTTTCTCGAAGTAAACCGGTTTATCATTCCCTGATTTGAAAATACCATCTGCAGATTTTAATACTTGATTATAAAAATATTTTTTTATTTTTATATTAAATTTATTATTTTTATATTATTTATTTTTAACAATTTTTTTACTTATTTTTATTTTATAATTTATATTTTACCTATATTATATTGTATTATATTATCGAATGAAATTGTTTTGAATTTATATTTTCACTATTAACTTAAAATTACAAAATTACAACGATACTAAAAATATGGATTAAATAAAAAATTGATCCAAATTTTTAGCACCAATTTGATTAATTTTAGTATAAATTTGATACTTTGAAGAAAATTATGTTCCTTCTGAAAATTTATTATCAACACAGAAGGTAGTTGTTCGTAATTCATATTTCCAAAAGATGGCCAAATATTCTTGTAAGCAACGCTTCTTGTGGCAATGTAGAGAAGCATTTGGCGTACAAATCGTTAAAGCCGGCGTGGAATAATTGTAAATATGTCAGTGAGTGATAACGTTAATCTATCAAGATAAGAGTTAAACAATTACAACTGACCAGTGACAAGAATTTCCAGTTGAAAGCAGTAAGTGTTATTTTTTTTTATTATTTCTGTAAAAAATTTAATAAATATTTTAATATATATTAAACTTAAGCGAGAATATAATAACTTGTTTGGATCAAAGCCTGACATCGCGTGGATTTAAGCTGAAACTTCTTATACTCACATTGCCACGCATTGTTTTGATAAAAAATAAAATACCATATATACCTACATAGAGAAAACTTTTTCTATCTACTGTTGAATGTAGACTTTTTCAGTTTTTTTGTACCTCTATTATCACTCGTTTCACGCTGATCAATATACAAATAAGCGGGGTTAATTATTTCGCCTATTCAAAATTTCATTCACTATTGACTTTTTATATGTATTCATTATTCTTATGACATTCTGTGTATTGTACGATTGTGATAAGGAAAGAGATATATTTAAAATATTTTCGAGAATTTCTTTTATCTTCTTTTGCTGGATTATTTGAATGCATATTTTATGCATTAAAGTAATAATTTGATTATTTCAGAGGAAATCAATTGTTTTTAAATATTTTAATAAAATTGATCGAAAGAAATCAATTTATTTTGAATAGAATTTTAATTAAAATTTTTTTGTAATAATTCAATTATTCTTTTTGATTTTAATAAAATTCTTTCCAAGAAATTCAATTATTAACATAAATAATTCTTGGAAAGAATTCAATTATTATTAAAGATGAAAAATAAAATTATTCCCGAAAATTCAATTATTTTGATGCATTTTAATAAAATCTTTGCAAAATTCAATTACTTTCAAAAATAAAAATATTCATCACAAGAATTCAATTGTTTTTTAAAAATCATAAATTTTTTCTGTGATATTCAATTATTTTAAAAAATTCTAATAAAATCGTTCGCAAGAATTCAATTATTTTCATAAATAATAATGCTTTTTAGGAATTGAATTATTTCCAAAAAAAATTTAATAAAAGGCCACACAGACATTCAATTATTTTTAAAAATTTTAATAGAATTCATTGTAAAATTTAATAAAAGTTTATTACAATCTTTGCAAAATTCAATTATTTTCATAAATAACAATATATTCATAGCAAGAATTCAATTATTTTTAAAAGTAATAAATTTTTTCTTGGAAATTCAATTATTTTAAAAAATTCTAATAAAATCGTTCGCAGGAATTCAATTATTTTCAGAAGTAATAAAATTCTTTTTAGGAATTCAATTATTTTCAATAAAATTTAATAAAAAGTCACACAGACATTCAATTATTTTAAAAAATTTTAATAGAATTCTTTGTCAAATTTTAATAAAATTTTATTAAAATCTTTGCAAAACTCAATTATTTTCATAAATAACAATATATTCATTACAAGAATTCAATTATTTTTAAAAGTAATAAATATTTTCATGAAAGTTAAATTACTTAAAAAAATTATAATAAAATCGTTCGGAAGAATTCAATTATTTCCATAAATAATAAAATGCTTTTAAGGAATTCAATTATTTCTAAAAAAAATTTAATAAAAATAAAAAGCCACACAGACATTCAATTATTCTCAAAAATTTTTATAGAATTCTTTGTAAAATTTAATTATTTTTACAAATTTTTCGCAAATTCAATGATTTTCAATATCAACTATTTTTATAAAATGTCCAAACAGAATTCAATTATTTAAAAAAAATTTTTGTAAAAATCTTCTTAAGATATCAATTCTTTTCATGAATATAATAAAAATTTCTCAGGAATTCAATTATTTTCAAATATTTTATTAAAATTAATAAAAAAAATCAATTATTTCAAATATAATTTTAATTACAATTTTTTGAAATAATTCAATTATTCTTTTAGATTTTAATAAAATTCTTCCCATGAATTCAATTATTTACATAAATAATTATTTGCAAGAATTCAATTATTAAAAGTAGAAATTCCCGAAAATTCAATTATTATGAGGCATTTTAATAAAATTCTTTGCTAAATTCAATTATTTTCAAAAATAACAATATATTCATCACAAGAATTCAAATATTTAAAAAAGCAATGATTTTTTCTTGGAAATTCAATTATTTAAAAAAAATTCTCATAAATTCGTTGGAAAGAATTCAATTATTTTCATAAATATAATACAAATTTCTCAGGAATTCAATTATTTAAATTGGAATTTGCATAAAATTAGTTGAAAGAAGTCAATTATTTAAACATTTTTCTCAAGAATTAAATTATTTTTATAAACATTAAAATTCTTTAATGAATAATAAAATTCGTTGCAGGAATTTAGTTTATTAGCATGATAAGAAAGAAGTAAATATTTGTGATTAAAATTAGGAAAAAGTCAGGAAAACAAAAGCTAGTTTTTGCTACTTTTTAAAAATTAATTATCGAGTGCGGATTAAAAATTGCGCGTTTGGATTTTTAAACCAGTTTTTAAATTGAATATATTATAGCATTTAAATTTTTTTTTAATTTGATATTTTGAATAATTTTCATCTAAGACGACCGAGAGATGAATTAAAATATTTATTATTCAGAAATAAGTTCTCAGATAAAATGCATTTTTTGCGGGAAAATAATAATTTCAGATTAAAAATTGCGCTGCTGGATTTTTAACTAAAATTATCTCTTTTTTATAATTGAACTCCCCTTGAATTTTTTTCTCTACAGGAAAAAGTTAAAATTCTGTTTGGATTTTTAACTAAAATTATCTCTTTTTTATAATTGAACTCCCCTTGAATTTTTTTTCTACAGGAAAAAGTTAAAATTCTGTTTGGAAATCAGAAAATCAAAATCAAATTTTTGTAGCCTGTCATTTTCTATATAAAACAAAGTTTTCTCGGTGAAAAAGTTTAATTCTCAGATTAAAATTCCTCTAAAACTTATTAAAATATTTACTTTACATTATATGTTGAACTTTATATATTTATTATTTAATAAACATAGCATCTTGCAAATTACAATAATAAAGTTATAAACAAGATGAGGAAGTTAAAAAGTTTCAAATTTGGTCGCACAGCGAATTTGTGTTCGAGACTCGAAAAGTTTTTTGACGGATTAGTTCGTTGAGTTGAATATCAAAAATAATGGACAGTTTCCTCTTTTCATTAAAATAACTCTATATATTTGAGAAGAGAGAATACTCTTGCGTCTTTGCAAGTATATCAGGGAATAAAAAATAATTGTGCTGACAAGTTAATTGAGTCAGCAAAAATGGGTTAATGCTAATAGGATGGGGCTGCATTGAATAGTTGGAGAAATTAACTCAAGTTTAATATTGAAACTACAAATGGTCTCTCTCACATTTATGAAACAATAACCATCAATAGTATAATAATTTGTTTCACGGCTAATAAAACGTTTTATTTGCTATAAAATTTCTAAAGGGCTGTATATAAAGATTAAAGCGAAGATTATTTGAGATTATTTTCATTATGTTTACACTATATTAAAATCCATTGTGTTTTTTATTGTCTTCTTTGGAATATTTAATAAAAAATTTCAATTTATACGTTTACCAAGAATTTTGATCAAAAGAAAAATTGTTTCCAAAAAAGGTAACCACAATTTTAACTGCGGAACTGACAAACGAATGAATGTGGTTGCAAAAACAAAATTTGAATTTCGTGTTTTTGAACATGACTAAGTGAGACAATGTTTATGTTTGGAAAAAGATTTTGGAAAAAGTTTTTTTTGGGGAAAAAAAATCGTTGGAAAACTTGATTTGGGAAAAGTGTCCCCCCTAGTAATATAAATATTTATATTCAATTTAGTATTTATTTTATTTGACGTACATTTATATTTTACGTAATAAAATATTATTAACTTATTCGAAAGTTAATATTGATATTAAAAGCCGCTATTCAAATCGAATCGTTTTCATTCCATTCATTATAAATCAAAACATCGTGTTCTATATACACACATTTGACAAAAAATTGACATTTTACTCTAGAATTATTCATGTGTAACTTCCATTTTGGTTTAATAACGAAATTGTGTTGAGAAAATCGATTACAAACCCCCCAGCTTTTGGTACTTCAATTTTTTACACACATACCGCTTGTACCTTATTTTTAAAATAAATATTTAACCACTTAAAAGTGAATATCGTGCGGTGGAAATATGAATACGTTAAAAATTTTTTTTTTTATTTCGGTAACGCACATATACGTGTTTCTAACAATCGATAATTAAAATATGAACCACAAGTGCATAATAAATGCAAATAGTGTGTATATATATATTTGCATAAAAATAAAATTTAATTTTCATATTATATATTTTTTAAACTGTTTGGATAAAAATATTTTTTCATTATTTTGCGAGAAAAAAGATGAAAAATTATTTTTAAATTTCGGTTAAAAAAAAAAATTATTTACAGAAATGACAACGGAATCTTTTAGTCAAAATGAAGACAATGTTCCTGTTTTGGAGGCAGATCAATCGTTAAAAAATAAAATGGAATTGCTCGCAAAGCATTTTCGTAAACAATTTAATTGTTCGCCTACATTTTTTGTGAGGGTACCTGGACGGTAATTAGAAATTTAATTATAATTAGAAATTCAATTATAATTATAAATTCAATTCAATTATATTTAAAATTTTAAATATATTTAAATATTTTTGATTTATTTCAATTATGTTTTCGATTAATATTTATTTTCGATTTTTAAAAATTTTTCGGTTAAAAAAATTTGATGTTTTTCTATAAGTTGAAAATTGATTTCAATTAAGTTGAATCTATTTTGGTTTATTATCCTTTAGCGTGAACATAATTGGAGAACATGTCGATTATTGTGGTTACGCAGTTTGTCCAATGGCCATTCAGCAATTTATACTTGTTGCTGTTGCGCCATCAGAAACAGATGAATTTCGTATAACTAATCTCGATTCGAAATATGCTGATTTTAAGTGCAAAGATTTTCTGGGCCTGAGGTATAAAAATTCGTTAAATCTTTATATTTTATTTCTCTCTAAATTTGAATTAGAAAAAATGTTTATATTAACTTAAATTAGTGACTGACTTTTTTGTTTTTAATTAGTAAAGCTTCCCAATAAATAAAATAGCAATTTCTACTAATTTATGAATAAAATTTACTAATTTAATAAAATTTACTAATTTAATAAAATTTACTAATTTAATAAAATTTACTAATTTAATAAAATTTACTAATTTATTAATAAAATTTACTAATTCAAAATAGTAAACATTTTTACTAATTAAAATTTAAAAACTTTAATTATTTATTTAAATAAAAATTAAATTTTTTATTTTATAGGAAATGGTATACAACATTTTTTATATATTTGTTTTTTATACTTATTTATTTTTGTCTATCTATTCAAAGCATCGATGTATAAATATTTTATAGCAAACGGCGTATAAAAATTTTTACAGCTTCTATACTTTCTTTTAATGTCTTTTAGAATTTTTCAATATAAAAGAGAAATTTTATCTCTTATAAGATGTATAATGATGATAATACTGAAATATTGAGTCTCGAGTATGAAAACAAAAAAAAAAAAAGAAGCAAATAGGTAATTCTCCAGAGTTATTAAAACTGCGGTGACAAAGTGATAAAAGTTCTCTTTAAAAAAATTATGTATTATAAATAGATGTCTCAGAAGCTTTTAACGAAGTTCATTATGTTGGAGGAAATTTTCCAGGGCAAGATTAGTACTAACTATGCGTGATAAATAATGAACGTGAAACTTGTTGCCGATAAATATATAATATTGTCTCTTTGCCATTAATAAAAAAAAAGAGGAAAACTAATTTATCACTACTAATTAGTGGAAATAAAATATTTATTTTTTATTCTTAATTTTTCTTTTTTGCCTTATAATTTTATTGCTTGGTTTTAAGTTAAATTAATTTAATGAATAGTAGAAAAAATAAAAGAGAAATGACACGATGGCGAAACAATGTAATTTCTACCTGGCCTCTGGTGCACATCTCATTCTCACCGCAGTTTTTACCGCAATGGAGAGTAATTTTTTAATCGTCAATTGCATATCAGTATTTAAATATTTCTTTTTATTTGAATAAATGATTTTAGTCCATTTGGAATGAATAATTTTAAACCATTTGGAATAAGTAATCTTAAACTATTTGAAAATATAATTTTTAAATTTAAACTATTCGAAAATTATTGTTAATTATTTGAAAACAAAAAATTTAAAACTATTCGAAAAAAATAATTTTCAACTATTTGCAAAAAAAAATAATTATTAATTATTTGAAAACAAAAAATTTAAAACTATTTGACTTTTGAAATTATTCGAATCTGCATTTTATTGTTTTTAGGTAAAATTGTAATTATTAATATTTTCTGTACATGTGATATTTTTTCTACGCTTTGTAGCAATCGAAATATAAATGATTCGAATGGTGGTCCCGATTGGCATAAATATTTTCTTTGTGGTGTGAAAGGAATTTTAGAAATAATACCAAAGGAAAATATTCCAACGGGAATGTTTGCTGCCGTTTGGGGAAATGTTCCTGCAAATTCTGGACTTTCGAGTTCTAGTGCTCTTGTTTCTGCTGCTGCATTGTCAACAGTACACGTTTGTCAGGTAATATTACTAAATGAAATAATTAAATTATTATTCTTCAAAAACTTTGCTTTTAAACAAAGAAACAATAAATTTTCCTGCGAGAAATTTTTTTTAAATTTCCCTTCAAAAATAATAAATGTTTAAATAAAATAAACATTTTTATAAAAATACCGGAAAAAATACTAAAACTAAAAAGTTACTGTTCTATAGCAATAACTTTATTTTTACATACATTTTTTTTTTGTTGAAAATATACATATTTAAACTTTTAAAGTGATAAGTTGACATAAAAATTCAGCACAGATCGCACGTGAGAAATTTTTTCCTCGAAAAACGTGCGGAATATGCTGGTCAATTTTTCAATTTCAACTTATGCTGGATTTTATCTCAGTGCTTTAAATTACGTTGCATGAAAATAATATAATATATGTGTGAGGTATTATATACGCAAGCATTGAAGTGGTGTCTTCCGGCTCAACTCCTTAGAATCGATGAGCAAACTTTCCACTAAATTCAACTTCTCCTTTGACTCAGAATATTTCTAAAGTTAACTGTATAAGGAGCTGTCGAATATTTTAAACGTTATAGATACATATATTTCAAATTTTAGCAACTTTATAATTGTTTCTTGTGAATTTTCGAATTTAGAACTTAGAATTTATAATATATAGTGAAACTGAGGAAGGCGAAAATTAGATTTTAGATTTAAATGTACAAATTTTAATGGCGAAGTATTTAAAAAGTTTTTTTTACCACAAATCTCAATGATTTAAGATTTATAGATTTTTCGATTGCTCTTTTTTGATTAATCACTTTTTTTGGGCGTTGAAATATTTCCTTAAAATGACATTTACGTCATTCTTGAATTATTTGTTGTCGCTTTAAGGTCATGTTATTCAGTGGTCACGTGTTCCCATAGTAAAGTATATGGAGCACGTGACCACTAAATAACATGACCTTAAATGTCATATTATTAATTATGTACAATGAGAAATTTCATATTATAACTGTTTACGAAATAGATTTTTTATTATAAATTTCAATTATTTTTATAAATAATAAAATTTCCACAAGAATTCAATTAATTTAGAAGAGCACTTAAAAAAAACATTTCAAAAAAATCAATTATTTAACAAAATTTGTATACAATTCTTCACAATAATTCAATTACTTTCATTAATAATAACATTCTTCATGGAAATTTAATAATTCAATTACTTTCACTAATAATAACATTTTTCATGGAAATTTAATTATTTAAAAAAAAATTTGATAAAATTCTAAGCAAGAATTCAATTATTTTCACAAATAAAGTTTTTCACAAGAATTCAATATTATTTAAAATATAATTTTCATAATATTTATTATATTGCGAAAAAATTAATTATTTAAAACAATGTTTATAAAATTCTTATGAAGAATTCAATTATTTTCAAAAATAACAACATTTTTTCCAAAACTTCAATTATAATAATAAAATTCTTCTCAGGAATTCAATTATTTTTGGAAATTTTAATAATATTCAATTATTTTCATAAATAATAAAATTCATCGCAGGATTTCATTTATCTTTAATACAATTTTACAGGGATTGCTGAAAAAATGTAAATATTCTTAAAAATTTAATTTCCATTACTCGAAAAAATCAATTATTTAAAAAAATGTTTTTTAGAATTTTTTTAGAAGAATTCAATTACTTACAAAAATATTAGAATTTTTCACAGGAATTCAATTATTTTCTTTTAATAAAATTGTTTGAAATAAATGAATATTTTAAATAGAATTTTAATTAAATTTTTTTGAAATAATTCAATTATTAATGATAAAAAACAAAATTATTCCCGAAAATTCAATTATTTTGAAGCATTTTAATAAAATTCTTTGCAAAATTCAATTATTTTCATAAATAACAATATTCATCACAAGAATTCAATTATTTTTAAAAGTAATACATGTTTTCTTGGAAATTCAATTATTTTTAAAAAATTCTCATAAATTCGTTGGAAAGAATTCAATTATTTTCATAAATAATAAAATTCTTTTTAGGAATTCAATTTTTTTCAAAAAAAAATAATAAAAAGCCACACAGACATTCAATTATTCTTAAAAATTTTAATAGAATTCTTTGTAAAATTTAATTATTTTTAAAAACTTCTCATTCAATGATTTTCAATATTAACTATTTTCATAAAATTTCCAAACAGAATTCAATTATTTAAAAAATTTTTGTAAAATCTTCGTAAGAATTCAATTCTTTTGATGAATTAGGCCCAACACTATTTTCAGATCTTTTCTTAAATTATTATTATTCTTGTTTCTATTGCCATTATTGTTATAGTACTCAATGACAAAAGAACGTCTAGCAACAATTAGTGCGAGTGCTGAAAGATATATAGGAACAATGGGAGGCGGAATGGACCAGGCAATTGCTTTCTTAGGAAAAGCAGGTGAATTTTCACTGATATATAATTGAACAATACATCTTTATTTTTATAAAATAAGTAAATATTCATAAAAGAAATAAATATTCGTAAAAAAAGGAAAATTCGTAAAAAAGAAAAATTTGTAAGAAAGGAAAATTTAAAAAAAATTAATTAGAATATAAAAAACCAAAGGTAATTTCAATCGAATAAAAAGAAAAATGACTACAAAAAATTTGTCTTCTTTTTATTAATTTGAAATTACTTTTTGTTATTGTTTTTTATTACTTGAAGGCTCAGCGAAACTGATAGAATTTAATCCTCTGCGTGCGACAAATATAACATTGCCTGAACATGCAGTTTTCGTAATAGCACACTCTCTGGTGTGTCACAATAAAGCTTCAACTACCGACTTTAATCTCAGAGTAGCAGAGTGTCGGTTCGCAGCACAGGTGAGTTATCCCAATTATACAATTTCATATTACACTGTTATAATTATTAGCGAAATTATTTATCCATAATGAGAGTTATTACTGAGAATTATTAATTCACATATATAACTTCTCTCGAGTAAAATCGTTATAACAAAATTAGACGAGCTTGTTTTAATTATGAAATAATGTGTAAATAATATGCTCCGTATAGCATTAAACCAAAAATAATCCGAATAATGGAAAATATTTTCGAAACTGTTCTTGTAATAATTTACTAATTAAATAAAAAAGATAATTTCTTACAGGTTGCGTAATTTCAATTTCAAAAAAATTTTAGAAATTCAATTATTAATTAATTTTTATAAAATTCTTTGCAAGCAATTAAATATTTTTATAAATAATAAAAATTTATTTAAAAAAAATTATTCTATTTTTGAATGTAATTTAATTTTTTGCAACTTTTTCTTAGTCTAGAAACTACTTTTGACTACTTTTTCAAAATTAATTATCGAGTACGAAGCCTGTTCCTTAAAATTTTCCTAATTTTTTTTGTATTTTCTAATTTCTAATTTTCTTTGTTAAATTCTAATTTCTAATTTTTTATAGAAATTTCTAATTCCTTAAAAATTATGTCCTAATAAATAAAATTTATTTTGGAAATAAATTCCATTATTTGATCGGAAAAATTTTTTACATTGTTACACATGTTATTATAATATTTTAAAAGTAAATATTTAATTTGCTTTTGCATTTACTTCATAAAAAAGATATTGGCGAAGAAAAGAAACGTTAATTGGAAAAGTATACAAAAATTAATTGACATTCAAGAAGGTTTAAGCAAAAGTCTTGAGGAAATGGTGGAAATTGTGATGACAGACCTTAAAGAGGAGCCTTACACTCTAAATGAGGTATGAATCAAATTACGAATCAGAAAAAAAAATTAACGAATAATAATTAATTAATTAATTAATAGTATTTATAGTATAGTGTATTAATAATAATTAATTAATAAGAATTAATTTGTACTAATTTACTTTCTAAATTTGAATTAGTAAAAACTAAAAATGTTTACTAATTTATTAGTAAAATTTACTAATTCAAAACTCAAAAGCAAAAAGTTACTGAATGAATTAGTACTTGACTTTTTTCTTTTTAATTAGTAAAGTTTACTAATAAATTGGTAGAAATTACTATTAGTAAAATTTATTAATTTAAAAGCAAAAAAACAGTCACTATTTCAAATTAGTAGAAATTTTCACTAATTAATAGAAAACTATTAGTAAAATTTACTAATTCAAAAACCAAAAGTAAGTGACTAATTCAAATTACTAAACATTTTTGCTAATTTAAATTTAGAGAGTACTAATAACATTATTTTCATGACAAGAATTATTCTTTCACCAGATTTTAGATTTATTAGAAACAACAAATGAGGAATTAAAAATTTACTCCATCAAAACGCCATTTAATCCCTCACAGAAATATAAACTTCGTCAAAGAGCTCTCCACGTTTTTCAAGGTATAAAGAATGTAATTTTGTTAAAATTTAACAAAGTTCTTTTTTTCCCTTTTTTTTTGCCTCATGTAAAATGAATTATAAAATCATAAACTATAATTATTTTTCATTTAGACAGGAAAATACTGTTTGTAATTTAATGCATAAATTCATTTAATCAATTTTATGCTTTTATCAGAGAAAATATTGTTTTATGTGAAAAAAAAAAAATAGAAGGGAATGAGATTTTTTGAGCACTTTCGTAATGACTCTTGATATGAATATATAATAATACAAGGCAAAAATTGTATACAAATGTGTATAAAGTATCAATTTCAATGGTACTTGTTTTTTAGTATTTTTACATTACTTCGCATCCAGTTGAAAATAATTCCATTTTACGATTGCTTTTTCAAAGTGTATAACTGAGGGAGACTTGTTTTTATTTTATTTCTTTTTTTTTTACTTTTGAAAATGAAGCGAAATAATAGAACAATAAGAGTGAAGCGTAAGTCACTGGAAAATAGTTGGAAAACAGAAATAATTCTTTATATATAAAGTTGCAGAACCTCGTCTTTAAATCTCTTTTCTCTCTCTCTTTCTCTCTCTTATCTCCATTTAAAAAGAAAAAATAAACCGAAACCGTATTATTTTTTGATGGCGAAAAATCTCGCAATTTTTCTGCAATTGCTTTAAAATTTGTTTCTTTTTCATTTATTTTCTTCAAAAGAAAAAGAAAAGAAAAGAAAACTCATTTTCAATGTGCCTTCAGGTTGAAAATTAATTTTTTTACCCCAAAAAAAAAGAATAATTTCTTCTTTTCTTTATTCGAAGATTTCGAATATAATAATTCTTCTTTGAATCATTTTTCAAGAAAGTCTTTTTATCTTCTCATCTAATTTTTAATCTTTTTCTTCATTTTTTCAGTTGATCAATATTAATCGCAAGTTTACATGATTTCATCAAAAACCGTAAATTTCAAAGCTAAAAGAAATATTGATTGAATTACCTGTCTTTTTCCCTCATTTTACTTTCTCTCTCTCTCTTTTTCACCCCCCTTTTATCGATATATACCTGATGAAATTTATTACTATAGAAACGCAACGGAATCCAGCCGTGTAAAAACCCCAGCAGATCACAGACTCACGTTCCATTTTTTGCGCTTAAGGATTGATGAGAGTTAAATAAAAAAAAAAATAAAAAAATTAGTGGAAGGGGAAGGGCACTACATTTCATAAATTGTATGAGGCTTTAATTAAATTGTAATGGTTAAATAAACTCAATTATTTCGCGATTCTCGATTTTCACGTTGACAAATTGGCTGACAATATTTTTAGTGTTTTAATTAAATAAAAAAATTTCAAATTTTTTAATAATAATTATAGTTGAATAAAATATCTGAAAATATTGTTTGGCCTGATGGAGAATTAAAAATTAGTATATTAATTATAATTACAAACAATGGAAATGATAATACATTCGGAAAAAAATTTATTTGAAGCAAGCAAATTTTAGTTGAATCAACGAAATTTTGTTATATAAAGCTAAGTTTTACGTTCGTTTAACCTTAAAAATTATTTTTTTGATTTAAATAAACATTTGACTCAGTTTAATAAATTTTATGTTCGGAAATAAAATTTAGTTACCGGTACTAAATTTTTTGTAGATGCAGTTAGATTTTTAGTTTATTTACCTAAAAATAAAAAATAAATATAAAAAAAGACAACTGGAAGAAATAATAGTATAAAATACCGCTGAATGATAAATTAAATTAATACGAATAATAATTATATAAATAATAATAAAAATAATATAGTAGTAATAATAATAAAAATAAATGATAATATTTCAGTAATAATAATTTTTCTTTAACACATTCAGAAGCATCGAGGGTTCTAGCGTTTCAAAGAATAAATGAAGACGAAAATATAAAAGAAAATGATAAACTCCAACAATTGGGAAATCTTATGTCGAAGAGTCATTCCAGTCTCTGTAAATTATATGAATGTAGTCACCCTCAAGTTGACGCCCTTGTGAATTCAGCTCTTGATTCTGGAGCATTGGGAGCGAGACTAACAGGGGCTGGGTAAGTGGGCTGTGACATTTTCCCTTAAACACCTTCAAATTAATTTTACACACAATTAATTTTTCTCCCACGAATTCCTGAAGAAATTGATTACTTTTTTCTTAATTTTTTTTTTTAAAGTTTCTTGTTTTTCTTTTTAAATTTAATTTTTTTGCGAGCTAAAAATTAAATTTCTTTTGTAGCTAAAAATTAAATTTCTTTTGTAGCTAAAAATTATATTTATTTTGTAGCTAGTTAGAAATTATATTTATAGAGTAAAGAAATTATTTCATTTCTAATTAGAAATTGTAGTTTTATTTTGTTTTATTTATAACAACTATTTGTGTGGATCAAGTTATTAATATAAAATTGTTTGGAGAAAATAATATACCATACGTAGGCGAGGAAAATGCAATAGGGTTTCATGCACGCGGAGAAACGATGGAAGAACGTAAAGTGCAGTTACTTTTGAAGTTATAGCAAGGAAACTTTTTTTTTTTTTTAAATATAAAGTATTTGAACTTTTAATTAGTTTCGTTGTTAGAGTTTGAGAACAATTTTTCAGCAACATAGGGAACAATTTTTCTTTTAAATAAGATTTCTCGTATTTACATTTCTGCGTGAGTTAAATAGAATTATTTTTATGAGTTTATTTTTGTGTGAAATTAAGTTTTGCTGTCATTTGAAATACTAATTATTCTCTAATATTATGATAATTCGTTTTTAAATGATATTCTTTAATTCAATTTAAAAATCAAATTTCTAAATTAAATTTAAAAATCAAATTTCCAAATTAAATTTAAAAATCAAATTTATTTTAATATACAGAATATAAATGAAAGAAAATAAATTATTAATGGAATTTTTTTCATTTTAGATGGGGAGGTTGTGTGGTTGCAATCACAACTAGACAAAATGTAGAACAATTTTTAGAAAGTCTTGTAGAGAAATATTATAATAGTCACGATTTGAAGGGTGCTGATATAAAAGATTTAGTTTTCCCGACTGAACCATACCAGGGTGCTGCTATTTACGTTTCTACTTTTACATAAATTTTTGAAAATTTTCCTTCTCGACGAAAATTCCCTCTATACACAGTAGAAAATTTACTATTGTAAAAATATTTTTTAATAGAAAAATATTTTTCACTTCTTTCGAATACTTTATGGACGAAAATTTTTGATGCTTTTTAGCGTCACTTTTCTGTTAAAAAAAAAATTGAATTATAATTTTTAATTATAATTATGCAAAATTATAATTTTAATTATAGAAAATTATAATCATAGAAAATTTTAATTATAGAAAATTATAATTATAACTTCGTAACTTTCTGAACATAATTAAAAAAAATTAAAAATTAAAATTAAAATTAAAAATTATTATAATAATGGAAAACTATAATTATAATATGAAGAGTTATAATAATTGAAATTTACAATTTATAGAAAGATTATAATTATAATAATATATTTTTACAATATTATATAATATACCACAAAAATACTTTTTAGTTTTTAAAAGAAAATTTCCAAATATAGAAAGTCAAGTGGAAATTTTCCTCATTATTGTACAAAGAAAAAAAAAACGAAGAAAATGTCTTAGAAACACAAATATTGATTATCAAATGTATTCTCAGAGAGAAAATAATGATGACATTTGAACTTGGAATTATTTTGTGTCTCTTATTAATTATCTCAATATTTCTTAAAATCCCCTAGAGAAAATTAACTTTCCACAACCACCTGACGGAGAAAATAAATAGTCTCAAGTGTAACTCTTGAAAATGGAGCAGTAGAAAATAGATATTGCGATCAAATGCAATTAGAATTGATTTTAAATTATCAAAGATTGAGCGCCCCTTTGCTTGAACTTTCAAGAATATTCGTTTTTTTTTCATTTCCGGAATATTTCTTTGTTTTTTTTCCTTAAAATTATTTTTAGATTTATTATCGGCTTTATTGCATTTTTTTTGTATTATAAGAAAATATAAAATTGTATTTTTTTGTATTAAAAGAAAATGGTAAAATTGCAATTTTTTTGTTCTTATTTAATTTTATTAGAAATTATTTATCGATTTTTCCTGGATGATAAATTTTAATATTTCACTTGTATAGCGCTATGAGAAAATGGAAAAGTTTTTTTTTCCTAGGCAGATAATATGATTTCCGCTGTAAAAGTTTTAAATGTGTTATTTACCTATAGTGTACAAACATCCAATGTGATTATTTTAAATTTTGAAAATTAAAAAACGTAATTTTACTTTTAGAAATATAATATGTTTACTAAATAAATTGATATTTCAAATCTCGGTTAAAATAATGGTACCATTAGTGGCTTTTTTAATAACAAAATAAAATAAAGAATTTTTTATTCTACTTATTACTAAAAATAAAAAATATTATATTTTATTTGTTACTAAAAATAAATAAATATTTTATTTTTTATTTATTACTAAAAATAAGAAATATTTTTGAATTTTTGAATTTAAAAAGAAATTAAAAATAATTTAAAGAATTAATTTTTAATTTTTACGGAAAAATACAAAAATGATTTCTTCTTTTTCTCTAGTAGACAAATTATTGTTTAGATGTTATTTTTGATTTTGCGAAATATCAATTTTGCGTGGTGGTAAACTGTGAGAGGGTAAATAAAACGATTATAAGCGCATGCGTTTTCGAAACTAAGAAGAAGAGCAAATGTGATGAGGAACGTCAGTCGTTGCCACCCCGTGCGGTTGATTTCAACTTCCAGGATAGCTCTTCCTTTAATATTAACTTTACCATTAAATATTGATATATATATATATATATATATATATATATTTAAAAAAAAAAACAAAAAAAATAATGAAGAATTTTTCGCAACAATCGCCAAGGATTTTGTATCCAAATTTACATTATTTTTTATTAAAAAAATTTTCCTTCTACATTCATTTTAATATAAAAAAAGGACAAGAATGAATAATAAGTAGAAGTGGACAAAAGTCGAAATAAATTTTCACGTGTGATAGGGAAAAAAAATTTTTTTTTTCTCAAAATCCATGCTTGTCCATGTGCTTCAAGCATGGCAATCATGCAATCCTGTTGCTGTTGGCGATCAGTCCGCAGAGGAAGTTTCGCGTGTGCAATTTACAGTGCGGTATGTAAATATTTAAATAATTGAATTTCATTTTTTTGAGAAGGGGGGAGGGGGAATTTTTGTACTGAGAAATCTTTTCGTTTTTCTTTTCTTTTTGGAAATTATTTCTTGGTTTTACAATTTTGTTTTATTTAATTGTTTATTCATTTATTTTATTTATTTATTCACTTATTCATTTGTTTATTTATTCATTTAATTTGTTTATTTAAAAAAAATAATTATCGAGGATTTATTTCTTGATTCTACAATATTTTGTCTAATTTAATTGTTTATTGATTTATTTTATTTATTTATTTATTCACTTATTCATTTTATTCATTTGTTTATTCATTTATTAATACTTTTATTATTTAATTTTATTAATAACAATATTGTTATGTAATGTAAAAAATTTAGTTTTGTAAAAGTTAATAATAATTTTATTAATTAATGAATAAAAAGATAAAAAAATTTATCACTCAACTTTCTTTCTCTTTGATAAATTTCTTTTTTTCACCGTTTAATTTATTTTGTGTGTGAATAAAAAATGAAACAATAGAGCAAAATGTCATTAAAATTTATAGTGTGTGTTAGTGTATAGTATATGTGTATGTGTGTGGTCATCAAGCAATTAGGGATTATATGAAAGGTGCTTTAATTAATTTGTTAATTAAGTCACAAAGAATATTGGAAAACAAGGTGTTGCATTTATATTATGCCTCATTTGCAATGCAGATTATTACTCTCATTATTATTAGTTTATAATTATTATCCACTGTAGAATTATATTGATCTTTTATAATCCCTAAAATCCATTATTCAACCTTATGCATTGATATAAGAATTTTTAAACTTATAATTTGTGTACAAATTTAAATTTGCACGTTTTATGCTAATAGGGGAAAATTAGCAACTCTGAATTAAACTTTTTTTTTTATTGAAACACGTAAAAAAGTGTAAAATTCCCAAAAGAGTTTATTTTTTCCCCTCTCTATAGAGTATGAGAACATTATATAGAAAATCCAACTTAAATGATGTTTGAAATTTAATTAAATTAAAAAATTAAAAGTCTCTAATGAAGAAATATTGAAGTTCCGAACATTTATCACTTTTCTTTTCTTTCACATTCATAATTGACAATTTGACATCCAGACAATTCGATCTAAAATATGTAGATACGGAATTTAGTGAATTTGAATAAAAAAGCAATTTTTCACAGCTTCATGTAATTTAAAGTGGAAAAATTTAAAACAGCTAATATTTGTTAAAGTAAATTTTTTTTCGAGTCATGTTTTTTAATTATACTTGAGACACTGTATATACACATCCTTCTCGAATTGTACTTTGAAATTGACTCTTAATTAAAAAAGCCAAGCACTCCTTGTTTTAGAAATTAGTTGCCTATATTTTAAAACTCCCGACAATTTATTATTATGCGAGCAATAAATTAAATGCTGCCTTTTCTATAAAAACTGCTGTTGGATGATTATGTTCCTCCCGACATGACAAAGTGAATCACAATTTTAATTGAAAATCCAATCTTTTTAATTTTATCTCATATAAAAGAATGTACAATAAAATTATTCTCTAGTTTTTGTTTCTCTTGTAAATTTTCAAAAATAATCTATGTAGAAAAAAAAATTTCAAAACTAGAGTACGTAGAAAAAAAATAATCAAAAATAATTTATGGAGAAAAAAGAAAAAATTTCAAAAATAGTCCACTTGAAAAAAAAATAACAATCGTTTATTAAAGTTTGAGACAATTTTAACGGTTTGTAACTTGTGTGAAAACGGTACTACTCATAACAGCATGTGCTTTACGATTGCAATAGAAAATTATTGGATTCGAAGTGTCAAGTATCATTAATTATAACCCTTTTGCTGAACAATAGAAAAATTGGGTCAATAATAAATATCTTTTTCAATTTATTAATTTCTGGCATTAGAGTATTTTTCTCCCCTCTTATGATTGTAATGTATATATTGAAAATTAATTTAATTAATTAGGTATAAGAATTTTCTTATCAGTTTTTTTGTTATTTTTATTATTATCACTATTTTCATATTATCTTCATCAGTATTTTCTTATTTTTATTATCTCTATTTTCTTATTTTTATTATCACTACTATTTTGTTATTATTATCACTATTTTCTTATTTTTATTATCACTATTTTGATATTATCATTGTCATCACTATTTTCTTATTTTTATTATTACTACTATTTTGTTATTATCATTATCATCATGATTTTCTTATTTTTATTATCACTATTTTCTTATTTTTATTATCACTACTATTTTGTTATTATTATCACTATTTTCTTATTTTGATTATCACTATTTTGGGGCCGTTCAAAAAATACGTAACGCTATTTTTCGGAAATTTGGACCCTCCCCTCCCCCCATGTAACGCAATGTTGTATACATTAGCGACATTTTTTCTGCTGACCGTAACAAATAGCTTGACCCCCCCTCCCCCCTAAAGCGTTACGTATTTTTTGAACAGCCCCTTTGATATTATCATTATCATCACTATTTTCTTGGTATTATTATCATCGCTACTTTTTTACTATTATCACAATTTTATTGTTATTTTTACTATTTTGCTATTTTTATTATTATCACTTTACTGTTATTATCATTATCATCACTATTTTGTTATTATTGTCACTATTTTTATATTATTTTTATCAGTCTATCACTATTTTGTAACTGTTATTACTATTTTGTTACTGTTATCACTATTTTGTTACTATTATCACTATTTTGTTATTATTATCACTATTTTGATATTATCATTATCATCACTATTTTCTTAGCATTATTATCATCGCTACTTTTTTACTATTATCACACTTTTATCTTTATTAGTTTTATCTCTATTTTATTGTTATTTTCACTATTTTGTTATTTTTATTTTTATCACTTTTCCGTTATTATCATTATCATCACTATTTTGTTATTATTGTCACTATTTTTATATTATTTTTATCAGTTTACCACTATTTTGTAACTGTTATCACTATTTTGTTACTATTATCACTATTTTGTAACTATTATCACTATTTTGATAATATTATCACTATATTATTAATATCATTATTATTTTGTTACTATTATCAATATTTTGTTAATATCAGTATTATTGTCATTATTCTGACCATTTTTTTATTATCATTATCATTACTATTTTGTTATTACTATTA